CCTCACGACGCCATTGTTTTCGGTCTTCAATTCCTCACAGGTCACGTGGTACAGTTCCCGTTCTATAAGTGTAGAATTCTGTGGCGTAACCATTTTTAAAAAGCGTTCTTCCGAAATTTATCCCAAAACTTGCTAGTTTCACTTTGATTTTTAAAAACTCAAGTAGGGTAACTCTGTTCGCAAAGAGTGCGCTTTTGTGAAGAGGGCGCCACCAAATTTTGAGGACAGTATTCGCAAGGGCTAAATATATTCGAGTACTCTCCTTCTGTTTATTAGATCTCTGTATATCTTTTGTTGAATCTTTGCCTTTATTAACAAATTAGAAAATTTAGCTGGTTTATATGAATGTGTAAAATATTAGATTGTTGAAAAATCAAAGGAAGAAAAAGAAATCAAATGATACTTTAAATAACGCGAGCCAAATACAAAAAAGAAGGAGGGGAGATATTATAGGTAACCGATTGTATTTTTAGTAAAGAGAAGGAGCAAACCTCTCAGAGCTCTAGCCAACCGAACACTAAAAATAATTTAATTGCATTCTTTAAATTTGAAAAAAAGTAGTCTTTACAGCGTTATCGTTCACTGACACTATACCTTGTAACGGAGGCTCTCGTGGCCTAGAGGATAAGGTACTAGCCTCCAATTCAAAGGTCCCGGGTTCGAATCCGGGTAGCGACCGAAAAATCTTCTTCTCTAAATTTGTTTCTTTTCACCTCCTTTCCCGCTCTCTAACAATGTTCTGTTGTCTGCTTTTGTCTCCTCTTTCTGCCCCCTCCCTTTCACCTCCTTTGCCCCCTCTTCTGGGCTCACGACTCTTTCTGCAGCCTCTCTACTGCTACTGCTTGGCTCATAATTCTTGCAGCTGTTCTTTCAGCCATACCCCTGATCTTCTGGTAGGAAAAATTTACACCTAGCCTTCTCGGCCAAGGGCGAAAAATATCGGAGCAGGGCCCGTGTGAAATTTTAGCTGGCTAAAGATCCCTTGGTGGTCTAAAATCGATAAGAGTAGGGCCTAGGCTTCGGCCGCCACTGGGGCAAAATTCAAAATTTCCTATAAGTCAAAAAGTTTAAATGTGTCCCGCGCGCTCCTATGACCTTATGAGGTTGCGAGCGCCGTAAAACACTTACCCCCCCAAAAAAACAAAACAACAACAACAACAACACACCCTTATGTGTACTCCTTAGACACCTTCTTTTACGTAATCATTCGATCTGTGTGATTAATAGTTACTGAAAAGGTTTGGGCCCTGTGAACGATGACGTAACAGCATTCAGTTTAAGGGAAGTAATTTAGTTCTTAGCAACCGGATTTGTATTTTGTAGCCTATTACTATTACTCTTTGTTGATTCCCTTGCTATTTATGACAGTGGTGAGATCTCAGAAGATTATATTATGATGAAGTCAGTTTTTATAGCTTTACCTAAAACACCAGGTGCCACTGAGTGTGATATGCATAGAACAATTAGCCTTATGAATCATTTTACAAAAATATTGCTGCGAGTAATAATGGGAAGATTGAGAAAACGTGTAAGACCAGAGATATCTAAAACACAATTCGGCTTTGTTCCTGACAAGGGCATCAGGAATATAATAGGCCTATTCACCTTAACAATGTTAATGGAAAGTTGTACTCAAGCTCAGAAAGGTCTGTATTGATGCTTCATAGATTATTCAAAGGCGTTCGATAAAGTTAGACATGATGAGCTATTTAAAATACTGGAAAAACTAGACATAGATGGAAAAGATCGAAGAATTATCAGGAATTTGTACTGGGACCAAAACGCTGCTGTACGAATTAATGGAGAATACAGTGAATATAAGCAGACTAGGCGAGGAGTGAGGCAAGGATGTGTTATGTCACCAGACCTCTTTAACATGAACAGTGAAACAATCCTTAGAAACATAGAAAAATGTCCAGGTCTCAAAGTAAATGGAGAAAATATTAATAACATCAGGTATGCAGATGACACAGAGTTCTGATAGCACGCTCAGAAAATGACTTTCAATTGCTTCTGGATACTGTTGTAACAGAAAGTGAACGAAAGGATTATTGTTGAATGTAAAGAAAACAGAATGCATGGTAATATCCAAAAAAAGCAGCAAATCCTAGTTGTAATCTCATTAGAAAAGGTGAAAAGATCAAACTAGTCCAACAGTTTAAATATCTAGGATATATGATAACATCTGCTGCCAAATATGTTCCACTGAAATAGACTAAGACGGACAATTACAAAGGCTAAGGCTAGTTTCAATAAAATGAGCCCAATCCTGAAAAATAGAAACATCTCAATGAACACCCAAATGAAATTTCTGAAATGCTATGTTTGGTCAACCCTTCTATAATATGGCTGTGAATGCTGGACACTCACTAAAGACAGTGAAAATAAAATAGAAGCAACAGAAATGTGTTTTCTGGGGAGAGTGCTGAGAGTATCGTGGAAGGAAAAGAAATCAAATGAGTAGTGCTTGATGAAGCCCACGTGGGACGCTCACTGTTAAAAACAATCAGGAAACGACAAGTGCAGTTTTTTGGGGGACAAATAAATAGACATAGGATCTTGGACATCTAGCTCTCACTGGCAAAATTGAAGGCAAACGAGGCAGGGGAAGACCCAGAATAACATACTTAGGGAACCTAAACAAATGGGTAACAGGGAAAGATCAGGGAAACGTAGCTTTTTTAGAGCACCAGAGGAAAGGAATGAACGGAGAACCATAATCGCCGATGTCTGTCGGCTGGCACAGGATGATATATACATGTACTATGATTCCCTTTGCACCATAATCAACATTCTGTGGCCATGACCTTCGGTCGCAGTTATTTTGCTCGATTTCGTAAACTTTAAAACCACGACCTATTTCAAGCACCATAATAATGCTATGATTCAGTGGATTTTTGGGGCATTTTTATTATTGTTTTTGAAATTTAATTTAATTTAATTTAAAATTTAAAATTTTTTTTGTGGGGGTGGGGGGATAGCATGTAGCTTCTGCTGTTGGGTCCAGGAAATCCGAAGACAGAACGACGACTGAGAATGTGTTTTTAAAATGACACTGACACCATTTCCGATCCAATACATCTAAATTGTCGACCCGATGGTCAGCGCATGAAATTTTGTTCAGAATGAGTCTGTGGAGAACGAAAAAAAAGGGGGAGGAGTCCACGAGTAGTGTAAGAGTTGTTACAAACTGCGCTTGCTTTATATTGCCTGATCATTTTTTGTAACTTATTTTTGTCTCGGGACTAGATCTAGTATAAATAATATATAATAATGCTAGTAGTTTACAATGGTTATACCCTCTTTTAAACCTATAGTGTACATCTATGTCTATAACCAACTACGCGCAGAACATAGTATCAAAGATAGTACATAATAATAATATATGTATTATATAGACTCTTTGATATAGTATGCAAGGCAAATACGTGATCAGATCTAATCTATAAAACAACAAAAAAAACCCCCAAAAACCTGACAGATTCTGGCGGGGAAAACTGAATTATAAAGCGCTGTTTTCACCCCTACTGTTGTTCCACTTTCAGTTTCAGTTTCAGTTTCAGTTTCAGCGTCAGTTTCATTAGCCACGAATTGATTGCTGTGCTGTGCTCAGTGCTCTAGTCTGATAGGGCCTAGTTCACAGCTAGCTCTCACAGCACACGCATCTACTTCTGTCACTCTTGCCATTACGAAGACGTCAAGCATCTTTTTTACGTTCACTCTTAAATTTATTTATAGTGCAGCAGTCGTGGTGGTATCAGAGAGCTTAGAATTACCTCTCTGGTGGTATCCAAGACTCACATTTGTCCAGGAAATTCGAGAAACTAGATCTAGATCTAGATCTGGATATCTAGATTATATATAATATCTAAATCTTATCGTAATTTTTTTTCATAGAACTGAAAAGTTTGTGTGCATCACTTTAACTGGATTGACAGTCCGACTGACACCGAGAACGAAGAATTTAACAAGGGACAATTACAGAGGAAGAAGAAGCTCGGAAAAGAAAACCATAATAAGTAAGTCAAACTGAAGCGGGTTTAATCGTAAAATAATATTATTATGGTGATTCTAAATAATGCTTCGACTCTTTGACGAGCATTATAGAGTGTTTGCAAGTGCTGTATACGAGAAAGGTAGGAGATTGCTGAATTTAACAGAACTGTATAAGAGACAAAACTAGTGTCTTGTCTATGTGCCAAAAGACGTTGACAAATATGAGGCAGCGTGGTGGAATCAGGCTCTCGTCAGTTTTTGGGCATGTAGAGTTATTCGTATCATCATCTTAAAGCTTGTTCACTTGTCTTTATTTGGATGAAAAAAGTATCTATTTGTCTTGAATACAAGTCGAGATATTTGCGAAAGAAGGTGGGGGTCACCTGTTTTCAGAGGTAAAATTAGTGAGAAAATGGCTGAAAAAGATTAGTTATTTCTTTAGCATAAGAGTCTGTGGTAACTGAAAATGTATATCTTTTGTGCCTTTAATCGACGTTTTTCAGTAGAATCCACACAGAAATGAGTTCTTTAATGGCCTTTAAAAGGTATTGAGCCCAAAAACAAAAATTTGATAAAAATTCGCAAACCTGCGGAAAAATGCAAGTTTCTTCACTGTGATTATTTTGACGAGAGCCTGATTCCACCACGCTGCCTCACAAATGCAGGCTTGACTGCTGTTAGTAAGACAACAAGTACTTGTACTCTCATGTATTTCTGCATTTAACTGTAAGCTAGGCCTATATACTACTTGTTTTTTTAAGAGCCCCTGTGAGGAGGGGACAAAAGTCAAAAGAGGTGTCGGAGTGGGGGCAGAAAGTGGAGACGAAAGCAGAGACAGAAAAATACGTTGTTAGAGTTAGAGAGCAGAGGTGGAGAAAGGAGAATAATGTCAGCCTATATTTTAGAGAAGAACATTTTCCGTCGTTGTCCGGATGCAAACCTAGCTGGGACCTATTGCATAATAATTATTATGGAGTGTCTATGTACACGGTAAACGGGCACCTAGTCTTGGTATCTACGTACACGGTAACGGAAATGAATATATTATAAATCAATATTTGTACTGTGCAGTCACTTGCTGAAAAAAAAAAGTCATACACAAGCGTCTTAAATTGTTGGGCTCGCCATCGTGACCGGTCAGTGAACCTGTGCTTTCGCATCACATTGTGAGTGCCTGTTGGGTTCACCAAAGTTCATTCAAAGTCTGTGCGCTAGTGAAGCCACACTAAATTAACACTGTATCACTTTTCTATTTTTAGATGCTGAAGACTGTACTGGGAATCTAGCTCCAGTCCGAATTCCATCTCAAACCGAGCAAACTGCTCCCAATCTTCTGAGAAGCCAGACGAGGGAAACATGAGTACAGAAGGTTACAGTACCCCAATGAAGAAAAGGATGGAGCAGGTACAAGGCGCACAGGCTTGGGTCTCTGTGAACTTAACAGTCCCCCCCCTCCCCCCCCCCCCACTTTTCTTTCGGTCCCGAGGTGTTGACTTTATCAGAATTTCACTGTTTGTATTATTTGTAACTAAGGCGCTTTTGACATTGACATGAGTCTCAATTTTTTCCTTATATTAGTAATTGGTAAGACTAAATTGTTTTAGTGACTAAGTCCTGAGCACCCAACGAACAGTTCTTCCAAGTCGACCCCCCCCCCTCCTACATGGTGGAATGGCGGCAGGCCAGACGATTTAACTGACCTTGGGCGTCGGATCTGTCCCGTGGGTTATTATACTTTGGTGACACCTGGTCTATATTTAGCGTTGTGGTATATGGTAGCCATGCATGTGGTTGTGTGGACCATATATATATATTGGCTCACCCAAACAGCAGTCACAATTTAATTCCATATATACAGATCAGTCACTGCGTCTTTTGGTTAACCTCCGCGATCACTGCTGTTTGGACGTACATGTACCGCTACTTTAGAAGTACATAATATGCAAGTATACAAAGTTCTATCTGAAATTTGTGGCTGTTTGTCGAGTTACTATAAGGTCATGAGGTTGGAAACCAAATTAAATGTTCTTTCTGCTCTACCAAAATCGTAAGATCATCCAGAGTCCTAATAATAATTTTTAAAAAATAAAAAAATAATAATTGCATTTATATAGCGCGTATCCATGCTCAAGAACCATGGTCTATGCGCTTTACAACTATTATTACCCTAGCAGACCCCCTGAGAACACTCAGAAACATTCAGTAGATCTATATTATTCAAAGAATTGCTTTCGAAAAAGCTGGTCATGTGCTATGAAACTCAAAAGTTTTAATGTCAAATCTCTTGATACTAGATACTGAGCTGATAAAACTTTGTAATTCTTGGGTATCAGTATGTACTCTCTTGTGTTTTCCAATGATTGGCTCACTGCCATTTTAAAAATCTATTTATTGTCTTCAGAGAGAGTTTTAGGAAATGTAGCCTAATTACTTTGGTGTCTCCGTATCACATGTTAACAGAATATTCCCCATATATACTATACCCTCTTGTTTACATACAAAGCAACACAACGTAACACAATACAATATATAATGATAATAAAAATGATAATAATAATGATATATATAATAAAAGAAGAAGAAGAAGAATTAAAATAATAGGTTATATTATACTGATGACGATAGAGTCTGTGGTAACTGAAAATGTATATCTTTTGTGCCTTTAATCGACGTTTTTCAGTAGAATCCACACAGAAATGAGTTCTTTAATGGCCTTTAAAAGGTATTGAGCCCAAAAACAAAAATTTGATAAAAATTCGCAAACCTGCGGAAAAATGCAAGTTTCTTCACTGTGATTATTTTGACGAGAGCCTGATTCCACCACGCTGCCTCACAAATGCAGGCTTGACTGCTGTTAGTAAGACAACAAGTACTTGTACTCTCATGTATTTCTGCATTTAACTGTAAGCTAGGCCTATATACTACTTGTTTTTTTAAGAGCCCCTGTGAGGAGGGGACAAAAGTCAAAAGAGGTGTCGGAGTGGGGGCAGAAAGTGGAGACGAAAGCAGAGACAGAAAAATACGTTGTTAGAGTTAGAGAGCAGAGGTGGAGAAAGGAGAATAATGTCAGCCTATATTTTAGAGAAGAACATTTTCCGTCGTTGTCCGGATGCAAACCTAGCTGGGACCTATTGCATAATAATTATTATGGAGTGTCTATGTACACGGTAAACGGGCACCTAGTCTTGGTATCTACGTACACGGTAACGGAAATGAATATATTATAAATCAATATTTGTACTGTGCAGTCACTTGCTGAAAAAAAAAAGTCATACACAAGCGTCTTAAATTGTTGGGCTCGCCATCGTGACCGGTCAGTGAACCTGTGCTTTCGCATCACATTGTGAGTGCCTGTTGGGTTCACCAAAGTTCATTCAAAGTCTGTGCGCTAGTGAAGCCACACTAAATTAACACTGTATCACTTTTCTATTTTTAGATGCTGAAGACTGTACTGGGAATCTAGCTCCAGTCCGAATTCCATCTCAAACCGAGCAAACTGCTCCCAATCTTCTGAGAAGCCAGACGAGGGAAACATGAGTACAGAAGGTTACAGTACCCCAATGAAGAAAAGGATGGAGCAGGTACAAGGCGCACAGGCTTGGGTCTCTGTGAACTTAACAGTCCCCCCC